CAGCTGTGAACTAGTAACGAATTAGTCTCTTCTGAGAACTTTGAATATGCGAGAAAGTGGACAAATCAGTCTGTCGAACTTGAGTCTGTCAGCAGGCACTTTAGTATGTGGGTCAAGTTCGAAATAACTCGACGCGTCGCGGTCATATCGTGTACATGAGGTCTACACAGTGTCTCGAGCAAGTGTCTGAGACATACTCTTCCCTTTTTCAATATATCTCTTCCCGTTTTCAATATTACAGTAAAAATGGCATTGCATTTTTGGATGCAATATGCATTGTCAAGGGGCATAATGTCCGCTATAAAATGGCAAAAAAGATGAAAGATGACGGGGTAGTAGAGGAGCACATGATCACCCCAGGACGGAAATAACGAAAAGGCGAGCTGGTTTTGATGTGCATGTGTTGTATATCGTGCTTTGTAGCGGCAGATCAAACTCGGCGGGTCATTAATTAAATCTGGCGGAGCCCAACGATCGTACCAGGCGACTCTTTAATTTCTACATCAACATTTGAATCTGGTGGCTAGGGCTCATGAGGGATATAAATATCATTTTTCCATCTTTCGGTCGTCTAGGGTGATGCATTCATTCCTACGGGAGGTCTTTGCCTTTGGTATATTTTCAAGGGGCAGGGGGCACAATTCCATTCATGCCGCACTTCTCATTCGGCACTTTTCTCTTAAAACTCTCCCGCATCAACAACAAACTCTGTCCGCGTGCGACCTGTCATCTGGCGCGCACGCGGCAAATGCTCTACCGATAAAATTTTATGGCTCTTGTCTACTACTTTAAAGTGTCTACTGGTACTTACGGAAATAACATTTTTAGTTGTTTCTTTTTATTTTTCTATTTTTCGAGATTGCATGATCTGATTGCTGTATTTTTGGACCTTGGGCATTTGATAAGATGAATACAAAGCAAAGATCCTTGGTTCCGACTTTAGGAGAATGAGATAAATTGAAGACGATAAATTTCAACGACATTTATCTGCATTTTGTTAGTGAAAAATCAGTGAACGACTTGAATATTCAACGGAACATTGATGTACTGTATACGCGATAGGGAAAACCTCGGGGAAAACTGGAAACCAATGGGCAAATATTTATCGGATTATGAATATTGTGGAAATTTAATAATTTCAAAAATAAGTCTTTTCGTGTAATCTATGGTAATTGTAATATGCCATCACAAGATCCATAGTAATGCTCTCGTTTGAAATATTATCTTCATCAAATTGACAACGAGAATCGATTCGATAAACCTTGTATTTAATTTTCCAACAAGCTGGCTCTCATCGATCATCCTTCAGAACGACATGAAAACGATATTAATAAAAAATCTGGGGTGGACATCATTAGAATAATCGCACAGTGCAATCTAAATCGATCGATCTGTTCTGGACAATTTTTTTCATCGAAAGCAGTTTATCACGTGAGTGAATTCATTGGGTGTGTGTAGTGCTTCAGCGACGACGTCGATGAAGCCGTGATGTCTACGCTGGGAACACTGCGGGGGTCCCACCGAGAACTCTTGTACATACTTATATATACCACCACAGTTGGAGCCATCTTTTTTATTCGCTGCGATAAAATGCATTCATCGGGCGCATTCATACAATTTTTTATCCCATCCTTGTACCCCCCCATTTCCACCCATCGCCCTCTTCGCTCTTCCGCCTATTTTTCTCGTTTCTCTCCTTCGAATTAACGACATGCATTATTTCACGAGGTATCCTCCACAAAGGACAACATTCTCTCCATATGTACGATAAAAATATTCATGTACTTGCGAATTATAGCGAACCTCCATGCGTCTATAACTATTATAATTATATGCCCGCACGGAAGCGTATTCTGCACTGTTTAATTACGAAGTAGTGTAACAGCCATCGAGGAATTTCAATTCGCCAATTAAAGAAAAAAGCCACGCCGATGTGAGCATATACACACGATAAAATTTACATGAAAAAAAAAAGAAATATATTTTATATGTGACGTCAGTATATTTGTTATAACAATTGTTATATACCCATTGTTATAACTTTAAAAAATATGACATTGACCCATATTATATATTTTTAAAAAATATTTTTGAACGTTTGCACGATTTTATTCAAATTCATGATCTTGAAAATTGGCTGGATTATTAAAAAATATAAATTTAATGAAAATCCACTAGAAATATTCGAATAACACTAGAATTTTTTACAGCCGTTATTATTTTCTCTGTATCTCTACAGTTGTTCGAATAAATTTCTTTCCATACGAGAAAATGTTGAATAGCGTGTGAAAAAAAAAGTGGCAAAAATAAAAACATATTAAAAGATAAGCTACAAGGACTATCCGTCATCACGTGACCCGTTAACCCATTGGCGAGTCAGGATCAGTTACGTTATCGGTGTGGAAAAAAGTGTAAGGCACCCTAGTGGGTTAGTGCATCATTAGTAAAACCCTGTGGTGCTTCTACACACCCACAAAATGGCAAAAGATGGGAATAACTGCGCGACGACGATGGGTTAACGATTCAAATGTAATTACCACAGCAGTAATAACTTCAAAATACATTAAATATTGTTGTTTCCGTATGACTATTCGTCGATTATCTACCAATGCGCACCGAATGTCCCCATCAATTTCCGTACACCCGCATTTCCTTCATAAAACGATAGGCGATAATGGCACAGTAACTGCATGACATTGCGATAGTGCATTAATACGAGAAAATTAACATTACGATTATCGGATGTGTTTTCCGCTTTGCCCTCATTTCAATAATAGTTCATGTATGAAGCATTACAATTTTTTGTGTTATCAAAAACAGGTGAAAACGGTGGGCGGAAGGGGGGGGGGGAGAGGGGGGCGTATAGTTCACACCGTTGGTGCTTGGTGCATTGCAATGAGTGAGTTTGCAACGTATATATCACGCGGAATGTTATATTCAAAACGTTTAAATTAATCGGGTGTTTATAAATAAACTTGAGCATTGTGGTGTCTCGTTGTGGGGTTTTTTGGCACCCCCTCCTGGGCTCGTTGTGGCACGTTGCACTTTGTCATTGCGTTTGGACACCCACGAATTACATGGAGTGAGAAGGCGTGGGCGCCAAGCACAAGGCAAAAGTCGCGTGGATTTTCACACTGGAATTAACAGTACTTCGAGTACACGGCTCATACGGCAATAATAAGGGGGCAAATTGATGCCAGGGGAGAGTGAAAAGTGGGTAACGATGAGTGGAAATCTTCTTCTGTCTATTCTGGTAATGATAGATTGTCTTTGTCAATTAATAAATTGGCAATGCAGTGACAAGGGGCCGCTGGTTGAGACTAATGATTTTGTTAATTAGCACATTGGAGAATTTTCGAGGGATCTAGGTGGGATTAGTCGATGATTTATGGTGATAGTTGGGTTATGCTTTTGCTTTGAGATGTGTGTACCATGAGTTATTAAATTCTTACGTTACTTTTGCGCACTCACGAATTGGATACCCACTCGTTGGTTATAAATCTCAGCGGGACTCTCGCAAGCGTGTGCTCTCTCCGATTTCATTTCGCTAAATTTAGGGATTGTCACTACAGGGGTATATTAAATACTGGGACATCTTCGTGGACAAGTATTGGGAGAATGTGAGTTAATCATTCGACGATTCTCCGGGATTTCGCCACCTCCTCTGTGCTGCTCTTACGTCCAGAAAGAATTATAGGTTTTTTTTTGGAGGGAATGGGCGAATGTTTGACTTCTCATGACATTTATGGAGATTGATAGATTTAGTTTGATTGGTCTGGGGAATTTTGAAAGTGAAAAGAATGCCGATGGTCGGACGTTTGGATTTTCGGGGAGAATTGGGGTGTATGGGCTCAGGTGTTAAATTGTTTGATCAAGGTGTGACTTACTGGGAACCTAGCCCTCTTTTTGGAAAAAGTGACACTTACCTACCAGGTTTCACTTCTCGAATCCTCTCTTCTCTTCAATACTGATGGGAGGAAAAATAGTTAAATTATTAATATTAGCGCAGCTGCGTATTTAATTGCTGACTGCAAACTTTAAAACATTCGCGATTTAAAAAAGGATACGAATATAAATAAATTAATAATAAAAAATATTTAATGGAAATAGGAGACAATTGGAGGCAATAATATTTAGTGTGATAAATGCAAAGAGTTGATTTATTCTTCTCGATTTTTTTGAAAATCTATTTGTCATTCGTCCACGAATCGATCATCTGCCCAATCCCTGATCCATCGATATCTCGATCATCGTTGGAGGTCTGGTATTATCGGATTGATGCGGTTCTTTTTGATGAATATAAATCAACAGAGAGCTCCTCTCGATATTTACATAGGATTTCTCACGTGTTTTCTTTAAGTTCCTCGCAGAAAGTAAATATTGTCACACGTGTTTTGAAGTCTCTACGAATTATGAAAATCAATCTTGTTTTTATCAGGCAGGGGTAAATTTTAATTTTTCTTGTGGTTTTGTTTTTTTGCTTCCGAATGGACGCTTTATATTCAGCCATATTCAAGCTCACAATTTTTTGTGTTAGGGTAACTAAATGCAGCCTAAAAAGATCGATTATACGGTTTTTAGGTGGTGTCTATATTTATGTACGTATGCACGTATTTATGTATGCATGTATATGTGCGTGTGCGATTTTTTTCTTTCTTTTCCCCTCTCTCTTTTTCTTCACCAGGGATTGATGGAATCCCATGATTTTTTGAATGAATATAGATTTTCAAAAGCTCTATCAATTAGCACTAATTAGGTTTGAAATGTCCATGATAATTCAGAAGAATCCGTAATGTTTCACTGAAAATATTATGAGCAATATCAATGAAATGATTCTTCATTTTTTTTTCTCAAATCATTCTTGTTCAAGTCGACAGATGATGGAACTACCTTTATTATTTCTCAATTTTCAGTTAATTAATTCAGAAACTTGTTGCTAATTTTTTAGCAATAACAGCTATATGCATTCCTTATAATGGCATTCCCCACTTGTTTTACAGTCACATCAGGAGGAGGACCTCTCGGATCCCGACCTCCAGGATGAGGAGAGTGGTGAAGAGTTACCGCAGCAGCCACTACAGGGAAACAATCACTCGTCCTCAGATACATCCACAGGCCCCATTGGTACTCCCACACCGCTGACACATTTAAATAGTTTGATGAATGCGCATCATCCACATTTTTTGTCAAAACTCAAGACAGAGGTTTGTAGTTTTTTCTTTTTTTTTAATCAATTCAAACAGCATTTAATGATGAGTACTTGTCGTGTTGAATTAAGAATACATTTTCGGATTTAGAAATCAATATCATATATATCAATTCTATGAAAATGTATTTATTGAATCTGAATGAGTTATGGGGAGTGAAAACGGCCGGTGATGATGTAAAACAGAGAAAAACTTTTGTAACATCAAAGACGAATAAATTAAATTGAATATATCAATTCTCCCTGACTCAAGAGCCAGATCTAGGATTTCTGGGGAGGAAAGTCACTTTTTTCAAAATCAGCTTATTACGTCAATCAATAGATACACTTTTGGAAAGGGGGAGGGGGTCGTTGTCGAAAATCCCCCTTGAAGAATATTACTGAGACATTACACCGGGCTAATACTTTTTTTATTCCACTAACAGTCAAATGAAATGGATCTGCTGAACAACAAATCTGGTCTTGAAGCCCTCCAAGCGGCAATAGGGAGTGGTGGCTTCAACCTTCCATTCAACTTTCCACCCCCAGCGGCATTTCTCACCCCACAACACCCCAACAACAATCCACAAACACCGGGTGGCGGTGGAGGAGGTGGAGGTACCAATAATGCTGTTAACTCATCAGCGAGTTCACACTCCAGTGAGTCATCCCAAGGCTCAGCGAGAAATTTGAGTGAAGCTCGGGAGGGCACAGGCCAGTCACAAAATACCAACAACTCAAACTCACATCAACAGACCAGCTGGAGTTTCGAGGAGCAGTTCAAACAGGTGCGTCAGGCAAGTATCGAAAATCTGCCTTGTTTGGCTAATTCATTTAAATTAATTATTAACCTACCCCCAGTGTAATCATAATATGGACTATGGAAACAAATTTGAAAAATGAAAAAACTGCGAATGATAAATCGCAATTCATTGGAAATCAAAAGTATTTATTGACTTAATTTAATTTGCACAATATCAGTAAAATCACGCATTGTATCCTTAATTATGGGAATTTTGTGTAATTACGCGTATTAACTCCTAGATAATCCGTATCATTTCAAGTACCACACACATTCATTCTCCTTCATTTAATTACTGAATTACAAGTTTTAACGTGTCGGCTTGGTTTTTAATTAATGCAATGAAATGGCCAGTTAATTATTATTTTTACACCGGGGGCGAGATAATTGCCCCGTACACTTGGCCCTTTCTCGCTCTCTTTGGTCGAGGCGAAGAACTAACTTCTAGAATTGGGACCCCGGGAAGGATCGTCTTGTTAACGCTTTTTGCTCAAGTTGAATCGTTTCACCTCCGTACGCGGGAGCGAATGAACAACACTCAGGTATAATCCTCCTTTTTTCGGTTTTTGCGCATACACCCGCAGGGGTGTGGTATTGGATTACCATTTAGATTGGTATTATCAAGGTATGCAATTCTTTGCATATCTCTTGACAAAATTACTTGGGCAACGCGAAGAAATCGTATTGGAAATAATTTTCATGGATGCGAGTAGAATGCGATGAGATGAAATTTCGAAATTTTCCTTGAATTGAATTTTTATTTGGATATAATGAAAGGAAAAATCACTCAAATCTAGAGCTTTCGCGTCATTAAGGAGAATAATTTTCTTAAAATTTAGAAGCTAACTCATGTGTTTTTTGAAGGAAAAGATAGTTTGAATTGGAAGGCAGTTGAAATTTCTGTACAGATAGTAGCGATTTTTGAAACATCAGTTGATTTCTTGAATAGGCAATAGAATTTGAAGAACCTACCACAATAAAAATGATGGAAATTTGTAAAACTTCCAGCAACTATTGTTCTAAATTCCTCCATTTTTACAATGAATTTGCAAATTCGAGCTGTCAGTGAAAAAGCGAATAGTCGTTCAGCGGGAAATTCTGAGTCTCTCATATTCATGTGTAAATTGACTTGAAAAAATTTATTTAATCCAATGGAGAATTCTTTTCCTTCATTTCATTTCAAAGGAGTTGTCTCTCCTTAAAAAAAAAGGAAAAAAGAAAAGAGAATCGAAATACTCGACTACTTTTTCACAACATTGTCCCGTCAATTTGGAAAATGAGACAAATCGCAAATGTGCGACCACATGGGTACAACATCCAGGGAAGTCGATCCAAAGAGTCTCACTCGCGGTTCATGGAGAGTAATAGCACGAAAACAAGAACGATATACAAGGGACGTGAAACGAGGATAGGAATGAAAATGAAATGCTCCACCCACTCAGTGAGGAGAAGAAGAGAAGAAAGTTAGCGTCTTCTCTCGCATCGCATCCATCATTCGCCCGTTGGAGGGCGTACATTGCACGGTCTTTAATCTTTTTCCCATCTACTTCGCGTCTTCCCGCGGTATTTTCAACGTCACGTCTATACCCCCGGCATTATATTTGTTCTATTTTTCCACTTCTCCAAGCTTCAATGCATTCAACACCAAACTGATAAAGAACGATTGAGCGAAACAGGAAAATTGATATCAACGAAAAATAACGACAGTGCATTCAATAATGAGCTTTACAATGATTCATCGTTAAAAATTCATTGAATAGTTGACTCGAACCTAGTGACCTCGATGTATGATCTTGTTATTCTTAAATTTGTATACGCCAGCATCATCAATTAGTCCGGGTTTAAAAATACCGTCTTGACATTGATATCAATCAATTTTGCCAATAAAATCCAAAAATAATTCAGAACAATGCCAACGTGGTGATTGATGCGAAAGACATTGCGATTTATAGATAGACCATACCCAAGTGCGCCAGATTCGCGGGAAATCCAAAAATATTCCCCCAAACGATTCCGCAAACACACCTCAATACCCCGGGATTAGAGCGACTAAATGGCAATGGGCTCGCGAGACCATCACGTCTAGACAGTGAAAATTCTGGGGATAAAAGTACTTTGGACAGGTTTATGGTCAGTTGGTTATTGTCTTGAAATACGACGAGCGTTGAGTTGGCCGTGAGGCCCCCTCAGGCCCACATTGGCGACGCGAAAAAAAAACCTCTGTAAACTCTCTTACCCCACATAAACCTCCCCCTCTCATAGCCAATTCACCGGTTAAAAAATAAAAATATATAAATAATAACATAAAAATTAAAAATTAAGTGCATCGATCCGTGCAACAGTGGTCACAAAGTAAATGCAACCAATACATATTTTCTATCTACATCCATACATATTCCCCATATATAACGCTACGCGTCTGGCCAGGAGCTACCAATGGGGGACCCAAAGTAATACTGTAGCACTATACTTTGCAGCCATTGTGAAATAACTCGTAAACCTGCAAATTGCCGGCTATTTCGCTCCCATATACTTCTTTGCAAATGTGTGTGCATGTATTATTCGTGTGTAGATGATATTTCTACACCGATTAGTTACATGTGTATAACTATGCATATGTATGGATTTTGTTCGATGAGAGGGGGAGGAAAAATGGTGATAGCCCTGGTAGAGGGGTTGAGGCGAAAGGTTTGTTGCGGGAAGGGATGCCACCGCGAGGTGGGGGCGGAGGGGGTTGGGAGGGGGTTGGGAGGGATTACGCACACATTAGCTGTGGAAACGCACACTTATTCATTCACTAGCCTTTCATGTCGATGGCGGGCGTGCCAAACCGATTCTTATGAGTCCGCCTTTATGCGCGCATGCATTATTCTTCCATTTCGAATAAAAACGAGTGAGACCCCTTGCGTTTCACTTGCCCTCTCCCGCACCTCGATTTTTCTCTCACTGTACGCACTTTGGATTAACGTACTTATCGTTGTCATTATGCTGATGCATTATCATTATGCAAATTGTTTAACATGAAGGTGGTATCGTCGAGCTCTCAGCGGAAATTCTTTCAATATTTTATTTCACTATTTTACTTTCTGGTCATTTAGTTCGTGCAAGAGTGAATGCACTTTTACCCTGGTTAGATTAGTGCTGATTGTCCTGGCGAGTATTTGTATATTTCTTTGAATTTTATGGATTTTATGGATTGGAGGACTGCCTCATGCAACTTTATTCGGCTTCTGGGATTTTCTTTGAATGGCTGGTGGTTTTGTATGAAGGTATATTGTTTTATCATTAATTTAGTAGGGTTATTCATTACCCGTAGTCTGGTCATGCTCAGATATTGCTAATGGAATTGACCTCGGTTTCTAGGATTTTTCGTCGCTCGTTCTTTTTAGTCGTTCCGGCTCTTTTTGTTTAAAATGTTTTGTTGTGATTTATGGGACGTCGGTTGCACGGGATTTTGTCACGGTATTTTACATTTGTTTATTGATATAAATTAAACATTTTTTTTTTCTGTTTAAAACGTCGCAGTGATCAATATGACCTGGATTTTATCGTGAATATTATCTTGGTTGACGTGTAAAAATTTATGAGGCGATACTCGGGGAATTGCACGATTATTATGCAGTTTCACGTGATTTGGTGATTCATTTCGCGGTAGATAGGCTCTAGAAATTGTACTGGAAATATAATGGAAACAAAATTGTGATAATGAAGTAATGAGAACTAATCATTGACGTTTTCTTCATAATATTCCAACCTTTTCTCGCATATTCTATTGGTGCATTATTATATTCTACTTCTATTATAAATTTCCAATTTAGCCGTGAGAAATTAGCGATATGAATCATCAATTCCGCACGGCCTTCAATTGCTCGGGAAATTAAAAAAAAAAATGATTAACGAGCGCATCAAATATCTCGAGTCTCTCTTGTAAGGAGGATAAATGTATTCCACCAACTTTGGATTCTCAATATTAGTTCAATAATTGGACAAGGTCGTAAAAGCTCCAGTGGCTGTACCTTGGCAATGGCACCACTCACTCTGCAATCGTTGAGAAGTATTTTACACTGTCTGTATCCTCCCTCTATCTCTTCGCATTCTGTTATCTCATTCCCTTCACTCCATTTTTACAAACTCTAGCTTCAACTTCTCTACCGGGCCATACCTACAACTCATCTCCTCACCGTTTATGTACAACTCACATCCGTCTCTCTCATACTCGATATAATTTTTCCCGGCAAGTCGTAAAGTAACAAGTGGCAGAGCCACACTTGGCCGCGTAATCCTGGTGGCAATGTGTAGTTGTTGGATAGTTAGAGTATAGTTGGAGTCAAGTTCCTTCGCAAATAGTTTATTTTTCCAAGTAACCGCAGGGGATACAATGTATACTCACCATTATGTATTTCAAGTAAAACTCAACCATCTTCAACACTCTGTTTGGTTAATTGCTCACCGAGGTTTGGTGTAATCTTTCAAACTCTGTCTGAACCACTTATTTTCCCGGTTATCCGACAATTTTCACAACTCGGGCAATTCTTTTCTCCGAGTTTCACCCGATACCGATCTCCTAACTGCACTCCCTCTTCTTCGTTTTGTTTCCTCTTGGTTTTGTTTTTTTTTTCTTTATTCCTCGATTCTTCTGCCAGTAATTTCCGCGCGGAGACAATGGACGAAGGTTATCGCGACGTATTTTATTATCTGTAACGGAGCAGAAAGTAGTGAGAACGAGCGGGGCGGAGTTCAAGTTATGATGAAGTAGGTAGTGGGGTTTATAACAATTTGTCGTTAGGTTGAACGAGTGATGGGTTAGGTGGTTCGTTAAACCTTGTGAAATAAAGAGTGCAGAATGAGGAGGGACTGACGAATCGCAGGATGTGACGAGTCGGTGGTCAAGTCGCACGGGTGAAAACATTTCGAGTGTCGCGGAAGTATATACCGCTCTATCGCTGAAGAATCATGAAATCTCAAGTGTACTATTTCTCACCTTCGAGGAATTCA